CATGGACGTACGAGCGACATCCATGACCATGCCAATGCGGCGCTCAGCAATCCCATTTTGCTGTGGAGAGGCCGGAAGCATGAAGGTCTGGCGGATGGCCTGTGCTCGACAGAAAGCTCCCAGACGGGCAGAGGAAAACTCCCCGCCTCTGTCAGAGTGCAGACGCAGAACAGGAAAGTTCGAGCCGAAACTCTCTCTGAGCTGGAGACGAGCTGCGCGGATCCAGACGATCAACACCTCAGTGACATCACCCTTGCTGCGCAAGGGGAAGACTGTGGCTTAACGCGAGTAGTCGTCAACTACCAACAGGAAGTAACGCTCGTGCCCCTGGCCACGGACGCGGGTGGGGCCTCATACGTCCATGTGGAGAGTCTGCAGAGGAGCCTCTGTCGGAGGAAACTCGGAGGAGTGAGGGGCGGCGCACTCTCGCCCCTCGACGCAGGGGACGCAGGTAGGGGCAGGCCCCGGAGGTAGGGGAGGGAGAGACCGGGGGAGACCAGAGACAAGGACACGGGAGGCCATGCCTTGGAGATGAGGCAGGGAGGGGTGACCAAGACGGTGGTGCCAAAGGAGAGTCTGGTGGGACAGGAGACGACACGAGCAGGGAGCAGACTCAGGACCAGACCTGGACGCTGCAGCAAACACCTAACTCGACGCAGCTACCTGACTAGACTCTGTAGCCGGAGGAGACTCAGTAGTAAGTGTGTACAAGCTTGACCCCGGCCGACGGGTGAACGTGGCCAAGTGTCGGCCTGTCCGAGCACACGTGCCGCTGACTCGCAGGAGTGAACTGGTCAACCCCCCTATCCTGTAGATCAGCTCCACTCACCAAGTTTGTAGAGAACGAGGGGAGGTAGAGACCTGACAGGGTGCCAGAGGGGGGTTCCGGACACGGTAAGACAGTGGAGAAGCTAGAAAGGACAGGACCCCCAGAGGGGTCCGCCAGGGAGACCGCAACCGGCCGACTAAGCGGCGTAAGTGTGGTGCGGTCTCGAAAGAAGAAGCGGGAAGCACCCGAGTCAAGGTTGAAGGTGTGTAAGGCCTGAGCCGACGTAGTACCTGAGAGAGCAGACTCACCAGCACCTGGGGCAGCAGACGCACTAGCACCTAGAGCAGCAGCCTCACCAGCACCAAGAGTAGCAGCCTCAATGCCCGGGTCAGGCGGAACACACAGGTAACAGTCACCCTCATCACTAGTAGGCAATGCATACATGGCTGTGAGGATAGCATCATAGTCAAGAGTATAGATGTCGACCCGCAGCCGAAGCAGCTCCACCCAGTCGGGGAGCTCAGCCGCGTCGCCAAACTCCGTACGCCAGGCGTCGCTCAGACGGGCGAAGCAGTGGGACGGTGCGTGACCGAACGTCCGAGCACCAGTGCAAATGACGTACGGACAGCGAGCAGTACCCCGTGACCCGTCACGCTGCGCGTACCACTCACGAAGTTGCTCGGGCGAGAGGACCACTCGGGGACGGCGCTGAGGCTGCACCTGGCCACTACAAGTAGCTGCCAAACCACTCACTTTAGTACGACTCCCGCTACGGCCACCCCGACAACCCCAACTAGCGTACCACTCACGAACCTGTCGGGGGGTGAGGGACTGACGGGGGCGACGCTGCAGCTGCACCTGGCCACTACAAGCAGCTGCCGAACTACTCACTCCAGGACGACTCCCACTACGGCCACCCCGAAAACCCCAACTAGAGTACCACTCACGAAGCTGTTGGGGGGTGAGGGACTCACGCGGGCGACGCTGGAGCTGCATCTGGCCACGCCAGAAGCAGCAGTAGCAGTAGAAAGAGTAGCAGCAGTAAGAGCAGCAGTAACAGCAGTACGGGCAGGGCAGTGCTCATCAGTTGCGAGAAGGGCAGGCGTACGATGGCGGCAACGGAGATGCCGCTACCACTGTAGAGCGAGAGCTCCGCGGCAGCTGCAGTGGCGGCTGCTCCAGGGGCGGCTGCTGCAGTGGCGGCTGCTCCAGGGGCGGCTGCTGCAGTGGCGGCTGCTCCAGGGGCGACTGCTGCAGTGGCGGCTGCTCCAGGGGCGGCTGCTGCAGTGGCGGCTGCTCCAGGGGTGGCTGCAGCAGTGGCGGCTGCTCGAGGGGTGGCTGCAGCAGTGGCGGCTGCTCCAGGGGCGGCTGCTGCAGTGGCGGCTGCTGTAGGGGCGGCTGCTGCTGCTGGGCGGCTCGGCGGCTCGGCTGCCCGCTAGGGGCGGCGACGGGGCCGCTAGGGGCGGCGACGGGGCCGCGTAGGGAGGGGAGCGGCGTCGGGGCCGCTAGGGGCGGCGACGGGGCCGCGTAGGGGCGGCTACGAAGCCGCGTAGGGGCGGCGACGGGGCCGCATAGGGGCGGCAACGGGGCCGCGTAGGGAGGTCAGCGGCGACGGGGCCGCTAGGGGCGGCGACGGGGCCGCTAGGGGCGGCGACGGGGCCGCGTAGGGGCGGCGATGGGGCCGCGTAGGGGCGGCGACGGGGCCGCGTAGGGGCGGCGACGGGGCCGCGTAGGGAGGGGAGCGGTTACGGGGCCGCTAGGGGCGGCGACGGGGCCGCGTAGGGGCGGCGACGGGGCCGCGTAGGGGCGGCAACGGGGCCGCGTAGGGAGGTCAGCGGCGACGGGGCCGCTAGGGGCGACGACGGGGCCGCTAGGGGCGGCGACGGGGCCGCGTAGGGAGGGGAGCGGCGACGAGGCCGCTAGGGGCGGCAACAGGGCCGCGTAGGGGCGGCTACGAAGCCGCGTAGGGGCGGCGACGCGGCCGCGTAGGGCCAGCAACGGGGCTGCGTAGGGAGGTCAGCGGCGACGGGGCCGCTAGGGGCGGCGACGGGGTCGCTAGGGGCGGCGACGGGGCCGCGTAGGGGCGGCTACGGGGCCGCGTAGGGAGGGAAGCGGCTACGGGGCCGCTAGGGGCGGTGACGGGGCCGCGTAGGGGCGGCGACGAGGCCGCTAGGGGAGACTACGGGGCCGCGTTGGGAGGGAAGCGGCTACGGGGCGGCTAGGGGCGGCGACGGGGCCGCGTAGGGGCGGCGACGGAGCCGCTAGGGGCGGCTACGGGGCCGCGTAGGGGCGGCAACGGGGCCGCGTAGGGAGGGAGGCGGCAACGGGGCCGGTAGGGGCGGCGATAGGGCCGCTAGGGGCGGCGACAGGGCCGCTAGGGGCGGCGACAGGGCCGCTAGGGGCAGTAACGGGGCCGCTAGGGGCCGTGAGGGGCCTGGAAGGGCGGCTACGGGGCCGCTAGTGGCGGGGACGGGGCCGCTGAGGGTGGCGCGAGGGGCCGTGAGAGGGGCCTCTGAGAGAGGTTGACAGAAGGGCAGCCCACAAGGCGCGCCTCGGGCAGGAGCGACTGTCGCTCCAGTCGGAAAAAAAAGTTTCAGTGGTGGGCCCAAGGAAGCGTTCCCACTAGAGAACCTGCTCTATACCATGTGAAGAAATGAGGAATGAATGAACTAGCAGGCAGGTGGGTACAAGTAGGAAAACCTATAAGTGTTGTACCCCATATTGTCTACCCCACTATAGCCTACACAGACTACAGCATATAAGTTTGACATTTGCAGGTGTGTTCACCGTTGATTGCTGATGAGCGGAGTCGTGTTCCGCCGTGAGTGCCGCAATTTCGAGCGCCGAAACTTCGAGTTGGTGCACGAGACGGTCGAGCTGTTCCTGCGTCAGTGTCGTGAGGTTGAATTCAGCCATGGCGGGGGTGTCGGGCAAGCTCAGCGAGAGCCTATATTGTGCTTACGAGAGAGCACTTCGACCGGGGATGCTTGTTCGCTGAGAGACGTCTACCCCCTCCAAAAATTGAGATAATGGGGAAGCGAAGGTGTGGGTGTGGTCCGAGAAGGGATCGTAGGCTCTGAATACCAAGTCTTACGAGTGCAATGGAGCGAGCGAGCGAGAATTGCACTATCGAAGCAAAACAGTACATTGAGCGAATGCATGAGCGAAGAATATGTAGCGAAGCTACAGTGGTAACGGTAATGCATGAAATTGGGGTATGCGATGGGCCTGGCGCCGATGTTGGGAGTTGTCGAGGCGGAGGTCCAGAGCGCGGGTTACCAACGAAGCCGTGAGGTTGGGTCGCGGTGTGAATAGTGGCAGGTACAGTATTCGAGGCGAGTGGTAACGGTGGCGCGAGATCAGTCATGTACACGCTCAGCAGGGACGCGAATTAAGGAAAATGATTTTTCCTGGTACATCTGGATATGAATTTGATTCTTCAAGAAGCTATTGGCGTGTAAGCAACGAAGTGATAGCGGGTACGCAGTTCAATGTACGGTAAGTTGAATATAATATACAACAAATGCATACTAGTCGGACTTATCGTTTACTAACAGGCCGTCTTTGGCGAAACTTGTGAAAGATTGTTATCTCTAAGATCTGAATAAGGTGACGATGTGATCTATTGTGAGCTCTAATATGGGATGCGGGAAAACACCACGTGCTCCCTATCTCCGTGCTGTGAGACTTTCGTATGAAAGCTGTTATCCATTTCGTGTTATAGGTCAGTAACGAAGCACAATTTTGTTCCCCCTGCTTCGCGTACAAATTCTTCCCTGTCCAATCATTTTGATCCAGTGGCCAGGGGAGTCCCAAACAGCCCCTAAGTGTCTCAACCTTCCTAACTTTGAGAAGGGTGACCCAGTAGGTACCGATTCACTTCGCAAATCGGGGGGAAAATTTTCGTCACGCGAAAAAACTGTTCTAGCGAGGACGAAAGCAGTGACGATTTCGCCAGCAAATTTGAAGCCCGTCCGATACTGTCTGCGAACCAGTTCTGGCGTTGCATTCCAGATCTGGTTATTTTCGCGAAATTTTCTTCCTTAGCGACCCCAGACCACTAATTTCGACACCACCCTGGCTCGCGAGCCAGTCACCTTTCTCTCCCCTTTCAACCTTCCTAACTTAGAAACTCTTGGACCTCCGGTTTTAACTCGCATATCAACGTGCCAGCGGCTATTCGCTGCCAATAGTGCCTCTTAAAAATTGTGGCCCTTGTATAGCAGCGATTATGGATTCAAGGCAACGGGTGGACGAGGAGAGCGTGCGGGAGCTGTTGCGCCTTCTCCGCACGTGCGGGGGGCGCACGTGCGCCGCGCTGCTGGCGCAGGCTCTGCGCGCAAAGTGGGGTCTTTGCGCGGATGAGCGGAATGGGAACGGGGCGCGAGAGGCGGGGGAAAGTGTGGGGGAAAGGCGTATGGATATAGAACAGGCTGGGAGAACATGTGGGGAGGTTGGAGGTTGCAAAAAGATTGATGATACGGGGGGAGAGGGTATGGGCGGGGATTGGCCTGGAGAAGGGGATGAGGGGGAGGGTGGATGCGGGAGGGAGCGGAAGAGGCGGAAGAGAGAGGCGGCGGAAGGGGAGAGCGGAGAGATAGGGGAGTGCGGGAGAGGGAGCCACGAAGGGAAGAGGTTAGGGGAGAGGGGGGAGAGGGGGGAGAGGGGGGAGAGGGGGGAGAGGGGAGAGAGGGGGGAGAGGGGGGAGAGGGGGGAGAGGGGGGAGAGGGGGGAGAGGGGGGAGAGGGGGGAGAGGGGGGAGAGGGGGGAGAGGGGGGAGAGGGGGGAGAGGGGGGAGAGGGGGGAGATGGGGGAGAGGGGGGAGAGGGGGGAGAGGGGGGAGAGTGGGGAGAGGGGGGAGAGGGGGGAGAGGGGGGAGAGGGGGGAGAGTGGGGAGAGTGGGGAGAGTGGGGAGAAGGGGGAGAGGGGAGAGAGGGTGGTTGGTGGTGGTGGTGGTGGTGCTGCTCCTAGCGATACCCATGCTGGTCCTGATGGGGATGGCGATATTGACTGTGCATCAAATGCGGACACGCTATTGGCTGCCGTGCATGAGCTGGCATGGGAGCACATCCACGGCGGCCCATGGAAGGACGTCCACGTGGCATGGCGCGACGCGTACGCCCTCACATGCCTCGCCATGGCCACTGCTAACGCCGCTACCGCTGTTGCTGCCCCCACTACCACCTCCAACCGCTCTCTACCGGCCTGTCTGCGGTTATTGGACCTAGGGCTTATGCTGGGTGGTAACTTGTTCCGTGCAGCCATTAATAGTGCTGTGGGGGAGATGGATGCACGGGTTGTGGAAAGGGGGGGTGGTGGTGGGGCGGACGGGGGGGATGGGAGGGATGGGGAGGGGGGAAGGGGAAACGAGAGGGGGGATGGGGAGGAGGAGAAAAGTGGGGAAGAGCAACGGCAGGAGGAGGAGCAGCAGCAGCAACAGCAGCACCAGTGGCAGCAGCGGCAGCTAGAAAAAGTGCAACAACCCCACACAACAAACCACATCAACAAACAAAAATCCCCACCTCACAAACCACCCGATGATCTCTCTCCCCCCCCATCCCTCCGCCCTCCCACTCCCCGCACCACCTCCCCAGACCCGCCAATCCCCCTTCCACCCCACTCCTTCACATCCCTCCCCATGCCACGCGCGCACCTGCCCTCTCTGGAGCGATTCCTGCAGAGCTACATGCAAGCGGGCGTGCCGGTAGTGCTGACAGGAGTGATCGGCCACTGGCCCGCGGTGAAGCGGTGGAGCGACTGGGGGTATCTGAAGCGTGTTGCTGGAGGCAGGACCGTGCCTGTTGAGGTGAGCGGGATGCAAAGGGGAGCAAGGGGAGGTGCCAGTGGTGCTGACAGGGGCGATCGTTCTCTGGCCTGCGCTGCAGCGGTGGAGTGACTGGGGGTATTTCAAGAGAGTGGCTGGATCCCGCACTGTGCCTGTTGAGGTGAGTGAGTGAGCCAGGGGAACAGGGGTGCATGCCTGCAGTCGTTGCAGAGCTACATGCATGTGGGGATGGGGGTGGGGGTGCCGGTGGTGCTGACAGGGGCGATCGCTCACTGGCTGGCTGGCGGTCAAGCGGTTGAGTGACTGGGGGTATTTGAAGAGAGTGGCTTGGCTGGAAGCAGGACCGTGCCTGTTGAGGTGAGCGGAACGGACAGGAGAGTAGGGGAGAGAGGGGGGATGGGGGTAGCAGGTCGGACAGGGCGGCAAGGCAGCGGGCAGGGGTAGGGAGGAGTGATTGCCAAGCCAACTGGCCTGCGGTCAAAGGGAGGAGTGAGTGGGGGTATTTCAAGAAAGGGTTTTTTTTTAGAATTCTCAAAAAATCCCTGTTTCTTCGGCCTGCGGTCAAAGGGAGGAGTGAGTGGGGGTATTTCAAGAAAGTGGCGCCCGCACCGTGCTTGTTGAGGTGAGTGTGGAGGTTAAGTTTACTTTTAAGTCGACTTTTGAGTCGTCTTAAGTTTTTTTTTTTTTTAATCGACTTTTGAGTCGTCTTTTAAGTCGACCTTTGAATCGTCTTTTGAGTCATCTCTTAAGACATCTTTTGAGCCGAATTTTAAGTCGTCTTTTGAGTCGTCTTTTAAGTCGACTTTTCAGTCGACTCAAAACCCGTGCCTGTTGAGGTGAGCGCGGGGACACCCACCCCACCCCACCCCACCTTTCAACCATATCTCATCTCCCCTCGTTCCCTCTCCTCCTCTCTCTCACCACCCCATCACCAATCAGATGGGCAGCAGCTACCTGGCGGAGGGGTGGACGCAGGAGCTCAGGACTCTCGCTGACTTGATTGACTCTGTTGATTGTCACTCAGCAGCCAACACCCTCCCCCCAACCCCCCACTCCCACCCACCTCACTTGCGGGTTCAGATGGGCAGCAGCTACCTGGCGGAGGGGTGGACTCAGGAGCTCATGACTCTCGCTGACTTCATTGACCGGCATGTGCTCAGAGCTAGGGTGCCACGTGGCAACAGCAGCAGGGGCGAGCAGGGGAAGACAGGAGGGATTAGGAGAGGAGGAAACGTGGTGAAGGGTCAGCGAGGGGAGAGGCGTGAGGGGGAAAGCCAGGACGAGGAATGTCAGGTGGAGAGACAGCAAGGGCGGGAGTTACAGGGAAGGGAATGGCAGGGGGAGGGCAAGACAAGGGCACAGGGGCAAGGGGAAGAATGGAAGGAGCAGAAAGAACAGGGTTTGCAGCAGCAGCAGCAGCAGCAGCAGCAGGACGAAGAGTGGGGGGTGGAGGAGGAGGAAAGTGGGGGCGAGGAGCGTGGGGATGATGAGAGGATAGGGTACTTAGCGCAGCACACACTGTTTGAACAGGTGGGTGTATGGATACTTCCGCTTACTCAACTCTTACCAACTTCTGAACGTCTCTCAACTGTTACAAGGTCCAGCCATCCCTGTATAGACGCCATGGCTAGTAACAGTAGTGATGGTATCGTGATGGCTATTCTTGCCAATGGCGAGACGCCCTCAAGACGCCCTCAATACTGTGGGATTTCCGACAAACAGTCTGCGTAACCAAAACTGTGCCATAATTTTTCCTTGCCCACTCTCACTTCCTTTCCCTATTTCCCTTCTTCCCCTTCACTTCCCCCTCCTGTGCTCTTCCCCTCTCCTCGATACCCAGATCCCCGTTCTCCGAGCAGACATTGACGTTCCCCCCTACTGCTGGCTCACCGCCCCTTCTCCCCACCCTCAATCTCTCGGGTCAAACTCTCTCGCTCACTCCTCTCTGCAAGAGGCCACTGGCACTGCAAGCATGGGTGATAGGTCCTCGGGTGATACGTGCGACAGCAAAAGTGATAGTTTGGGTGGTGGTAGAGAGGATAGAGAGGAGGAGAAGAAAGGGGAAGAGGAGAGGGAGAAGGTGGCGGAGGAAAACCAAGGCAAGAATGACGGGGAGGAGGAAAGGGGGGATGGAGAGGTGGAGGAGGAGGAGGGAGATCCAGTGGTGAATGCGTGGTTCGGGCCGGCAGGAACAGTGACGCCGCTGCATCACGATCCCTGCCACAACCTCTTTGCTCAGGTGAGGTTGCGCCTCTCTTGACTTTCTCAGGCGCCTCAGGAGCGGTTTCTTGGCAATGCGTGGTTTGGGTTGGCAGGAACAGTGAAGTGTACGCTGCTGCATCACGATCCCTGCCACAACCTCTTTGCTCGGGTGAGCCGGTTTTTGTTTTTTTTTGTTCGATTTGGGAAGCCATGGCACTGTTTGATCCGTCTCGTACCTTTGAGGCGGCTTGTTTTGAGACGTCTCAAAAGTCAGGTGAGCCGGTTGTTTTTTTTGTTCGATTTGGGAAGCCATGGCACTGCCTGATCTGTGTCATCATGCCTTTGAGGCGCCTTGCTCAGATGAGGCGCCTTGCTCAGATGAGGCGCCTTGCTCAGATGAGTCGCCTTGCTCAGATGAGGCGCCTTGCTCAGATGAGGCGCCTTGCTCAGATGAGGCGCCTTGCTCAGATGAGGCGCCTTGCTCAGATGAGGCGCCTTGCTCAGATGAGGCGCCTTGCTCAGATGAGGCGCCTTGCTCAGATGAGGCGCCTTGCTCAGATGAGGCGCCTTGCTCAGATGAGGCGCCTTGCTCAGATGAGTCGCCTTGCTCAGATGAGTCGCCTTGCTCAGATGAGGCGCCTTGCTCAGATGAGGCGCCTTGCTCAGATGAGGCGCCTTGCTCAGATGAGTCGCCTTGCTCAGATGAGTCGCCTTGCTCAGATGAGTCGCCTTGCTCAGATGAGTCGCCTTGCTCAGATGAGTGGCGCCTTGCTCAGATGAGGCGCCTTGCTCAGATGAGGCGCCTTGCTCAGATGAGGCGCCTTGCTCAGATGAGGCGCCTTGCTCAGATGAGGCGCCTTGCTCAGATGAGGTGACTTGGCGAGATCAGGCATCTAGCCTCGATCAGTCGCCTTGCTCAGATGAGGCGCCTTGCTCAGATGAGGCGCCTTGCTCAGATGAGGCGCCTTGCTCAATGAGTCGCCTTGCTCAGATGAGTCGCCTTGCTCAGATGAGGCGCCTTGCTCAGATGAGGCGCCTTGCTCAGATGAGTCGCCTTGCTCAGATGAGTCGCCTTGCTCAGATGAGTCGCCTTGCTCAGATGAGTCGCCTTGCTCAGATGAGTCGCCTTGCTCAGATGAGGCGCCTTGCTCAGATGAGGCGCCTTGCTCAGATGAGTCGCCTTGCTCAGATGAGGCGCCTTGCTCAGATGAGTCGCCTTGCTCAGATGAGTCGCCTTGCTCAGATGAGTCGCCTTGCTCAGATGAGGCGCCTTGCTCAGATGAGTCGCCTTGCTCAGATGAGTCGCCTTGCTCAGATGAGTCGCCTTGCTCAGATGAGGCGCCTTGCTCAGATGAGGCGCCTTGCTCAGATGAGTCGCCTTGCTCAGATGAGTCGCCTTGCTCAGATGAGGCGCCTTGCTCAGATGAGTCGCCTTGCTCAGATGAGGCGCCTTGCTCAGATGAGGCGCCTTGCTCAGATGAGGCGCCTTGCTCAGATGAGTCGCCTTGCTCAGATGAGTCGCCTTGCTCAGATGAGTCGCCTTGCTCAGATGAGGCGCCTTGCTCAGATGAGGCGCCTTGCTCAGATGAGGCGCCTTGCTCAGATGAGGCGCCTTGCTCAGATGAGGCGCCTTGCTCAGATGAGTCGCCTTGCTCAGATGAGGCGCCTTGCTCAGATGAGGCGCCTTGCTCAGATGAGGCGCCTTGCTCAGATGAGGCGCCTTGCTCAGATGAGGCGCCTTGCTCAGATGAGGCGCCTTGCTCAGATGAGGCGCCTTGCTCAGATGAGGCGCCTTGCTCAGATGAGGCGCCTTGCTCAGATGAGGCGCCTTGCTCAGATGAGGCGCCTTGCTCAGATGAGTCGCCTTGCTCAGATGAGTCGCCTTGCTCAGATGAGGCGCCTTGCTCAGATGAGGCGCCTTGCTCAGATGAGTCGCCTTGCTCAGATGAGTCGCCTTGCTCAGATGAGTCGCCTTGCTCAGATGAGTCGCCTTGCTCAGATGAGTCGCCTTGCTCAGATGAGGCGCCTTGCTCAGATGAGGCGCCTTGCTCAGATGAGGCGCCTTGCTCAGATGAGGCGCCTTGCTCAGATGAGGCGCCTTGCTCAGATGAGGCGCCTTGCTCAGATGAGGCGCCTTGCTCAGATGAGGCGCCTTGCTCAGATGAGGCGCCTTGCTCAGATGAGGCGCCTTGCTCAGATGAGGCGCCTTGCTCAGATGAGGCGCCTTGCTCAGATGAGGCGCCTTGCTCAGATGAGTCGCCTTGCTCAGATGAGTCGCCTTGCTCAGATGAGTCGCCTTGCTCAGATGAGTCGCCTTGCTCAGATGAGTCGCCTTGCTCAGATGAGGCGCCTTGCTCAGATGAGGCGCCTTGCTCAGATGAGGCGCCTTGCTCAGATGAGGCGCCTTGCTCAGATGAGGCGCCTTGCTCAGATGAGTCGCCTTGCTCAGATGAGGCGCCTTGCTCAGATGAGGCGCCTTGCTCAGATGAGGCGCCTTGCTCAGATGAGTCGCCTTGCTCAGATGAGTCGCCTTGCTCAGATGAGGCGCCTTGCTCAGATGAGGCGCCTTGCTCAGATGAGGCGCCTTGCTCAGATGAGGCGCCTTGCTCAGATGAGGCGCCTTGCTCAGATGAGTCGCCTTGCTCAGATGAGTCGCCTTGCTCAGATGAGGCGCCTTGCTCAGATGAGGCGCCTTGCTCAGATGAGGCGCCTTGCTCAGATGAGGCGCCTTGCTCAGATGAGGCGCCTTGCTCAGATGAGTCGCCTTGCTCAGATGAGTCGCCTTGCTCAGATGAGGCGCCTTGCTCAGATGAGGCGCCTTGCTCAGATGAGTCGCCTTGCTCAGATGAGTCGCCTTGCTCAGATGAGTCGCCTTGCTCAGATGAGGCGCCTTGCTCAGATGAGGCGCCTTGCTCAGATGAGGCACCTTGCTCAGATGAGGCGCCTTGCTCAGATGAGGCGCCTTGCTCAGATGAGGCGCCTTGCTCAGATGAGGCGCCTTGCTCAGATGAGTCGCCTTGCTCAGATGAGTCGCCTTGCTCAGATGAGTCGCCTTGCTCAGATGAGTCGCCTTGCTCAGATGAGGCGCCTTGCTCAGATGAGTCGCCTTGCTCAGATGAGTCGCCTTGCTCAGATGAGGCGCCTTGCTCAGATGAGGCGCCTTGCTCAGATGAGTCGCCTTGCTCAGATGAGTCGCCTTGCTCAGATGAGTCGCCTTGCTCAGATGAGTCGCCTTGCTCAGATGAGTCGCCTTGCTCAGATGAGGCGCCTTGCTCAGATGAGGCGCCTTGCTCAGATGAGTCGCCTTGCTCAGATGAGTCGCCTTGCTCAGATGAGTCGCCTTGCTCAGATGAGTCGCCTTGCTCAGATGAGTCGCCTTGCTCAGATGAGTCGCCTTGCTCAGATGAGTCGCCTTGCTCAGATGAGTCGCCTCGCTCAGATGAGTCGCCTTGCTCAGATGAGGCGCCTTGCTCAGATGAGTCGCCTTGCTCAGATGAGTCGCCTTGCTCAGATGAGTCGCCTTGCTCAGATGAGTCGCCTTGCTCAGATGAGGCGCCTTGCTCAGATGAGGCGCCTTGCTCAGATGAGGCGCCTTGCTCAGATGAGGCGCCTTGCTCAGATGAGGCGCCTTGCTCAGATGAGTCGCCTTGCTCAGATGAGTCGCCTTGCTCAGATGAGTCGCCTTGCTCAGATGAGTCGCCTTGCTCAGATGAGTCGCCTTGCTCAGATGAGTCGCCTTGCTCAGATGAGGCGCCCAGACGTGTGTGAGCCTGCCTCAAGAGTCAACGTGTCATGGCTGCCGTGTGGTGGGCAACCGTGAAGGCAACATGACAGCCTAAGAAGTCGCGGCATGTCGCACCTTACTCTGCATGTGATGCTGGTGTTCTGACCAGGTGGTGGGAAGCAAGTACGTGCGTGTGTATAGCAGCGCAGAGGACGCTCGGCTGTACTCTCCGTTTGACAAGTTTGTTTCCTTTCTCCGGTGGAGGTCAACGCAGAGGATAAACTTTGTTTTCTTTCTCCTTGTGCCTGTGCTGCTGCTCATGCTGCCATCCCACCCACCCCAACTCTTGGTGGTGGGTAGGTAGCAAGAACATGCGTGTGCACAGCAGCAGGGAGGACGAGTTTTGAGACGTCGCAAAAGAGCAGCTGCACTTCCTTGGATGACACGTCACTAAACAGAACTAGCGTCGTATTCTTTCTCCTTTCTGCGTGTGCTGCTGCTGCTCGCGCCATCCCAACACATTCTCAGGTGGTGGGCAGCAAGTACGTGCGGGTGTATAGCAGCAGGGAGGACGAACGGCTGTACCCACACAAGGAAAAGATGAGAGGGCACACCACAGATTAGCGTTGTATTCCTACTTCCCTCTGCCTGTGCTGCTGCCGGTGCTGCTGATGTGCTTCTCAGGTGGTGGGCAGTAAGTACGTGCGGGTGTATAGCAGCAGGGAGGACGAGCGGCTGTACCCACACAAGGAAAAGATGCTCTGTAACTCCAGCCAGGTACGAAGAGGATTCTTAAGTCATTCCAGTCTAAAAAGAAGAGCAGAAATATAAATAAAAACAAAAAGTTGATATCCCCATTCCCTGATTCCTCATCTCTGCATCCCCCCATTCCCCCCATCACCTCAACCCCCCAATCCGCCCATCCTTCTACCAAACCCGCCCCAATCTCCACAGCAGGTGGATCTAGACTCACTGAACCCCACCGCCTTCCCCCTGGCCCCCCTAACCCCCCTGGCGCCCTTCTGGGATGTCCTGCTCTCCCCCAGCGATCTGCTCTACATCCCTCCGCTCCCTCTCATGCACCCCCCTTCCCACATCCCTCCATCAGGTGGATCTAGACTCTCCAGATCTCACTGCCTTCCCCCTTGCCCCCCTGGCGCCCTTCTGGGATGTGCTGCTCTCCCCGGGCGATTTGCTCTACATCCCGCCGCGCTACTGGCACTACGTCAAGGCCACACGCCCCAGCTGCTCCGTCTCCTTCTGGTGGAAACCCGCGGGTGAGAGGAGCTCCAGATAGCCTCTGTGGCGTGGCTCCATGTGCGGCTGGCAAATTCTCTCTCAAATGGTCCTTTGTAATTCAGCAGGGGGTACAGACATGCAATTTGACTCGTGGTTCCCTTATACCTTCCGACCCATCAACCCATCCCTCTGACCCTCCCCCCCCCCCCCCCCTTAGTACCCCTCTAACCCTCCAGCGTGTGGAGGATGTCCCCCAGGTGCAGCGGCCATGGGTCCGCTGCCATCTGGGGGTGCGCTGCCTCAATCCCCGCCCTGGCCTTGGTGTGCAGGGCATTCGCCTGGGAGCGCTGGAGGGCCACTGACCAGCGCTGGCTGAAGTGGCAGGCCATCTTCTTGGCCGATTTCGCCAAGGGGTTGGCCCTGAACCGGTTCCTAGCTGCTGCTGTGGCCAGCAGCTTCAGGAACGCCGTCGTGGGGGGCGCGTTTGCCCCATAGGTCTCGAAGGCCAGGGCGCAGAACACCACGTCTTCTGTGTGCCGGTAGTAATCCCTTTCCTTCCGCTTCTGAGCCTCCCTTGCAGCCCAGCCTGGGGGTTTGCGGGCCGTGGGGTCCCGGTTCTGTAGCAAGGGTCGGTGATAGTCGTGTCTGTGATCCAGGTCTCTCCACTGTTTGGGTCACGCACGATCACATCGGCCTTCTTCGGGTCATCCGGTGGTGAGTACATTGCATTCTCCAAGTATACCACCAGCTGCGCCTCCCTCGCCATTTTTGCCACGGCAAAGGCCAGCTGATTGTGTGTGCGCGTTCTGTCCGGGCCTGTGCTGCAGCGGAGTAGGTGGTTGGGTTGGCTGCAGTCGGCCACGAGCTCTCCACACTCGCACACGGTAGGTACGTTCTGTCGGATGCCCATGCGGAAGGCCAGGGCTGTTCGGAATTGCCCTGGTGAGAAGCAGAGGTCTGGGGTCAGGGGTAGGGCTTGCAGCCATGCTCCCGCTCCCTCGCCTCTCAGGCTGACGAGGCGGAGCGTGTGGCCCATCTCGGGGGCTGACCTGATTGAGCGTGATTCCTCTGTCAGGGCGTCGGCCTTTGCCGCGTGCACTTCCTGAGAGAGGGCCCGCTGCAGCTGGTCTTGGGACGGGGTTTCTTGCTCCTCACGGAGGTGTTGCAGCGCCAGCGGCGGCAGTCGTCCCTTCATATCTTGGATGGTGACCGAGTGTGCCGCAGACGGCTGCAGGGGGTCCCCCTGCCTAACTCCCCTTCCGCTGGTAAGTGCCGTCGTGCTCAAGCGGGGATCGGTCAGCAGCTGAGAAGGCGTTGCATAGAAGGAGCAGGTGAAAGGTATGAGCGGTGCTAGCGGGGTGTTGGTGAGTGCGTTGAAGAACGCTTTCCTCTCTACGGAGTTGAAAGCGTTTTCAATGTCGAGTTGGAGGACTAGGCTGGAAGGTTGTGAAGTGGTGAGGTCTCTGACTGCATGTATAACGAACTCAGCTCCGCTTGGGACTGCCACACCGAATTGTCGGGGTAAGAAAAATCACCTTGTTTCTCCCTGCAGTTCCGAGAGTGCAACCTTTGCTGCCAACCGGAGTAGGGATTCTCCTATCGCGATAGGGCGTACCCCTCCCCCTGGTTTCGCGAAGGCGATGAGGCGGGATGGCAAGAGTAGTGCTGCAACCTCGGTGGAAAGATTCGTGGAGAGAAGATGTGTTACCGCGGAGTGCAGGTGCCCCAGCACTTCGATGTTGCTAGGGCTGGGTCGCGGTAGTGTTCAAATGTTGACCCTGATGGACCAGCCCCAACTCCGCTGGGGCAATCCCCAAGGACGTCTGAGAAACTTTCCGCGGTGCACGAAAATTGCGTGGGTGTTGTGTAGGTGTGGACCCAGTCAGGCAGCTCAACTTGGGGTTGGGGATGTTTCAATTCCAACTGCTGCAATGTTGCGATCGTCGCAGGGGCCGCTGGCGAGGGTGAAAGGGCTGCCAACGCTTTCCGCAGGTTACCCCGTTTCACCAACCCCTCCACACGTGAGCAGATTCCCAGGGGGTCATTTTGGTGCTGAGGTGGCTCAGCTTGGTGCAGGGACTCCACGTAGTCACTGTACAGCTGGTTCCAGTGGCCACATCTGAATAGGTGCATCTGCTCTCGCAGCACCTTCCACCTAGAGCTAGACCTCCTGCTAAGTCGTAAGGTGAGACGTAGCAGGAACATGAGGACCCGCCACGCTCCCGCGCAGGTTGGCAGCTTGGAGATCCGTAAGAGGGCGGCCAGCATACAGGTGGAGTAGTCGCTTAGTATCTGCGGCGGCAGGCGGCGGACGATAGGCAGGTGGGTGGTTGACGTTAGGGTTGAAGAGTCCCAGCTCATCGCAATCTCAAAGAGATCATCCCTCGATGCCAGCTGGGACGCTGACAGGGCTTGGTCCGGAGGGGGTTGGGGTCTGCGGTTCTGTCGGCATCTAGAACCTCTCTCCTGCTGCTGCGCCAGGTCCTCCCCCGCTTCCGCGAGAGGTGAGTCGGGGTTGTCGAGTTGCCTCAGATCTGACGGTACATATTCGTCGCCGCTCCCTTCTGCGTTTGTATCACCGATTCTCACTGCTTGCGATGTCGTTCCCCCTCTCCCCCCGCGTCAGCAAACGACTGGCGCGTGACTTGTTCCGCCGGCTCCCCCAACCAGATTGGGCTCGGTAGTTGGCGCGGATTCCCCCTCGCCGCTTGGCCTGCACTCCGCTGTCCTCCGCGCGCTCCTCGACCCCCGCCTCTCCCCTGCGTGCTTCCCCGTCCGCTCCTCGGAGTGGCTGCCACAGGTGCCGCCTGTTGCGCCTGGGAAATCGGCATCGTCGGCTCCTCTTGTGGCAGTGGAGCGCCCTGAGCACTCGCCGATGGATTTCCTCGGCGCTCTGGGCCGCGACTGCACCGCGGAGAGCGATCCTGCTCCCCGTCCGCTTCCTCCTGCACGCCCTGCCATGAGCGTACCTGTTGCTCCACCGGCGTCCGCTGATCAGATCCGCCGCCGCTTCGAGGACCAGCAGCGCGAGCTGGCTCGGCGCGCGGGCAGGTCCTTGTCACCGCCGGAGCCCCTGCGCGCGGGGTCCGTCTTGCGCTCCGGCGCAGAGGCTGTGGCACACTAGGAGCGTTCGCCTCGCCGTCGCTCATTGGCAGCTCGCGACGTTAAGCGGGAGAGCCGCCGCGATGATCGTCACGGTGCGGCCCGTTCGCCGCTGTCGCCTCGTTCGCCTCGTCGCGTGGCGTCGCGAAGCCGATCCCATGACCGCCGCTCGCATCGTCACCACTCGCCCCCTCACCGTTCATCTCGTCAGCGGTCGCTTGCCCGCCAGACGTTTGGGCGTCGGCCCCCAGCTCCGCGTTCGCCCCCTCCTGCAAAGCGCCAACGGCTCTACTCCCCTCGTCGCGGGGACCATTTCCCTGGCCGCCAGCATCAGCAGGGCCCATCTCGCCCGCAGTCGCCTGTGCGCTCGAGCGCAAGTGGGCGTGCGCGTCGTGGGCGACGGGGAGGTGACAGTCGCGGCGGAAAAGCGCGTCCAGCGCCGTCCGCAATGGAGCGCCGACTTCTGGATAGGCTTGATGACGTGGAGAAGGAGCTTCGTCGCTCGCGTGCGGGGTCGACGTCACCATCAGCTCCTCGCGCTGCTCCCGTCGTCCCTCTCTCCGCGCTCCTGCCCCATAATCCCTTTGGATCCCCCGGCGCGTTCATTGCGGCTGCTGCCTGCGGGGATGGGCTTCGTAGGTGCTGGTGGCGGGCCGCCGTGGGCTCAGTTTGCTCCGCCGCGTCCTCTTCCTGCTCGGCGTGATCTCGCCATGTCGTCTCACCGTGCCCGCGCGTCTGCGTTGCTTCCGCCGATGAAGGAAGTTCCCACGGCGACCCTGGCCCGCCTGTGGTCGCTGGCGGCGTCCCTGCAGAGCCTTGAGCGGATTCTCCAGGAGTCATTTGACTCCATGCCGGTGAGCCCTCTGAGCAGGTTCTCTCAGAAACCGCGAGCAGATTGTCATGCGGCGGCGTCAGCGCTATTCGCGCTCGTAACGCTACTGCAGGTAGCGCCCTCGCCGGGGGCAACCTCGGCCAGCCAGCTGGCTGACTCGGCTCTGGCTCTGAGGACGCTTGTAGCAGGCCCTGGTACTCTTGTTGACGTTGTAGGCGCCACCGTGTTAGTGGTCCGCCACTTGTGGTTGAACACGAGCGGAATGCTCGCTGTGGTAGAGGCGGACCGCATGTAGGCGCTCCCCCCTTGCGTGTGCAGACCCGTTCCATCGTCGTCGTCGTCGTCTCTCTCTCTCTCTCTCTCTCTCTCTCTCTCTCTCTCTCTCTCTCTCTCTCTCTCTCTCTCTCTCTCTCTCTCTCTCTCTCTCTCTCTCTGTGGCGTGTGTGTGCCGGATGCTACTGGCATGCACTACGTCAAGGCCACCCGCCCCAGCTGCTCCATTTCCTTCTGGTGGAAACCCGTGCCTCAAAGCAGCTCCATGTACGTATATTCGGTATTCTGTCTCGTGGAAACCCACGGGCCGAGAGAAGCTCAAAGAAGCCTGTGGTGGAAGCTTTCGGGCAAGAGCTCCCAAGTGGCCTTTGTCTTGTGGCATGTGCGGGTGGCAGGAGGGGAGGGCCAGGGAGAGGGGGGGGAGTGGGGGGGTGTTCTTCTATACAAGGAGCTAAACTCAACTCAAAGATCCTACTCACAGAAATATTCTCACCGTGATGCGGTACTCATTGCTATTTCTTCACTGAGCAGGTTCAGAATCGCTTGGATGAAGAACTTCCGCTGAGATTTTCCTGCATTGTAACGAGACATACAGAGCATGCACTGTTCATTGTTTAGTTGTACTGATGTGCTTTTATCATTTTCACGGTCTGATTCAGATGTATTTTTATTGAGTGTTACAGTTTATGTGGCATTTGCGGAGTTGGTCCTCGTCATAAGTATCGGGCGACTATATAAGGACAGCTTGTTAGTGGGTACATTTCGAACGTTCGAATTGGCACATCTGCAGGGCAGCAGCAGCACCAACATTGGCACTGTCAGTCTGTTCCCGTCGAAAAAATATCTTCCCGCTGCCCCAGATCTGCGGGTGTCAGATTTCTCGACTCGCCAAGTTTCCTCCACTGTCCATTCACGCCACCCCGTTGTTTCCGCTCCGTCTTTCCCCCCCACCCTAAAAGCCAGGGCGCACATCCCCCGCTGCCCACTCCATACTACTGTGTGAAGCGCTTGTGGGCCGTAGAACATCCCTCCATTGGTCAATCGATCGGAGTCCAAATCTTTGAGCGAAACTTTTCGCAAGCGCCAGGCTGAGAAGCTTGGTGAAAACGGACGCCAAGTGGTTACCGTAGACGTCATCGACCACTGAACTTTCTCATACACAACAGAACAAGTTGGCAGCACATCGTTTGGAATCTGGCGTAAACGTTTTAAAGTTTGAAAGCGCCATTCGGGAACGCAACCCATCTCTTTCCACCGCATGATCCGCCCTCACAACAAATCTTCCACCAACAGCTCAGCAACACAGCTCCTAGGGTTTCTTAGTGGACAATACGTAGCACACTCTTTGCTCACGCCACTGCTAGGACTCTAAAATTGTCGCTTAAGGTCAGCACAGAGTTTTAGTTCAGCCACTGATATTCAGTACACGCTTTTACAAGGTCGCGCCGGATTGGTCTGGAATATCCGGTAAGCTTAGGCCACGATGATATGCCCACTTGAAACGGCGTACTATGCATGGCGGCTCCACTCTTGTTTCCTGCTCCCCTTTCGGGCTTGCTGCCATTAGTTGTGTGCTAGTCTCTGCCCTTGATTTTCTTCGTTTTCATTTCAAATCTCCGATATTAATCGGAAGAGAAGCCAGTCTGGTGCCCCTTCCAATAATTAGTGTTTTCTTCTTTCTAAGCCACACGGACGTGCAAACCGCCAGACGCTTCTGACCTTTCTGACAACCCTAGAAAATATATATATTTATCCTGCTTTGTCACGTTCCATTTCCTTCTCCAGACATCTCTCGTCGTCACCCTGCTCCGAGCGCACTCGTTTTCCTCCCTATCACGCGGCGCGTGCCACGTCGTTTCAGCTCCACGCCGTCCCTACCCACCGCCCTCCCCTCTCGCGTTCTCGTCGCGCGCGCGTGAACCCAACCCGCGTCTTCCACACCAACCAGCGAGCTTAACTCCGCGTCGCCATGCCGGACGAGCCAGGGTCCCCGGAGAGCAACCCCGAGGATCTCGAGGGAGGAACGTCGGGACATGGCGGCGGCGAGGGAGGGTCGTCGTCGGTTCGGGAGCAGGATCGGTTTCTGCCTATCGCGAATATTAGTCGGATTATGAAGAAGGCGCTGCCGCAGAACGCCAAGATCGCGAAAGACGCCAAGGAGACGGTTCAGGAGTGCGTATCCGAGTTCATCAGCTTTATCACCAGCGAGTACGTCCCTCTCGGTTTCTCGTCTCTCCTCCTTTCCCCGCCCCCCTCCCGCCACATCTTCCTCCTCCTTTTTCCCCGTCTCTCCCCTCCCCCCACCTCCTTCTCTTCTTCCCCCCTCGCGCCCCACCTCCGCCCTTCGCTCCTCGCTCTCTGGATTTTTTTAACTTCTGTTTTCCTTGTTCTAACGTGCGTGTCTTTTTTTTTGCACTTTCGCTTCCAACGACCAAGTTTTTCTCGACGTGTGTTTCTGCAGAATATAGCCCATCCGTTTCCCCACAGTCGATTTCGTTCTCCTCATCCTTTCCACACCACTTCCGCCCCACGTTCTACCGTCTTGCACGCCATGTCTCCTCGTCCGGGTCGAGCGACAAGCGCTGCAGGAGTAGCGCAAGGTTATAGCAACGCATTCTCGGGCTCCCAAATAGACGAAAAACGAGGGAAAAAAAAAAATCAGCAACGCTTGTTTCCCCCTGTCATTTGTTTGGAAATTTCTCTCTTTTCCTTAACATTTCCGACCAGGGCGAGCGACAAGTGCCAGCGTGAGAAGCGCAAGACGATCAACGGCGACGATTTGCTGTGGGCGATGAGCACGCTGGGCTTCGAGGACTATGTGGAGCCGCTTAAAGTGTACCTGCACAGATACCGCGAGGTGCGTTAAAGTGTACCTGCACAGATACCGCGAGGTGCGTTAAAGTGTACCTGCACAGATACCGCGAGGTGCGCGTGAAGTGGGAGTGAGAGGCGCAGGATGGGTTGGGAGAGGAGGGCGTCAGACTTGTAAAGGAGGGGGGAAAGGGAGAGAACGGGAGTGAGGGAGTCAGCGGACCGGCTTGAGCGGTATGGTGTGGTGGGCTGGACGGGGAAAGAGGGGAGGGGGAGGGGAACAAGAGGGGGAGGGCAAGCGGGTGGAACAGAGGGGGAGGCGGGGAAGGAAGTGCTGATCAGGCTGGGCCTTGGGAGTGAGGCGAGGGAGACAGATTAGGAATTTCTTTATTATTATTTGTTGTTTTTTCTTTTTCCTGGCAGGTGCTCCTGATTCTTTTTTTTTTGTACGGTGGGTCTGAACTTCATTCAGAGGCCTCTTTGCTTCTCACTCGCATTTACTCCTGTTTGGTTCTCATGGTCGTGTTTCTCAAACCATCCCCTCCTCTTTTCCCCTCTCTGCCGTTCCCTTTCGTCCACCCTCTTCCTTTCCCTTTCATGCTTTTCCTCCCTCGCCATCTCGCCATCTCGCCATCTCGCCATCTCGCCATCTCGCCATCTCGCCTCCTCTCCCGTATCAAACCTCGTGCTTCCTCATCCAAACGCGCATCGTCTGCTGCCGTCTGTGTCCTTCCTGCTCCGTGCAGACTGAGGTGCGCAGATCCTCTCATCTCCTCGCATCTCATTGCGTCTCATCCCATCTCATTCCATCTCATCCCATCTCATCCCATCCCCTCTCAACCATACCTCCGCTCTATTCTTCTTTCATACTATCCCTGTGCTGCCTTCACTCTCTCTCGCCCTACCTTCATTAACCCCCCCCACGCCACCCCCTTCCCCTCTCCAACCCGCGCCCTCATTTTCCATGAGTTTTTTCTTGTTGTTTTCCGTTTCACTCACCTTGTCACCCTCGCCAGTTCCATTCCCCCTTTCTTCCCCACCTCTCCCTCCCTTTGTCCTCCATGCCCTTGCACCTTGCCGCCCTGCTTCGTTCTGTTTTGTCGTTTCTTTTCTTCTCTCTCAATACGATCTTTTTTTTGTTCGCACCACATGAGTTTCCTCGAGTTGTTGCTTCTGCTTCCTCCCTCTGCTCTGCCGTTGCTGCTCTTTCTGTCGACCGTGCCAGCACGAATGTTGCTCACTCTCTGACTCTTTGCTTATCCGTCCGTGTTTGTGTGTGAGAATGTGTGTGTGAGGGGGGGGGAGGGGGCGGGGGGGGGTGGGTTTGTGTGGGTGGAAGGGCGTTGCGGAAATTGTGTATGGTAATTATCCTGATTGTGAATGTGTTTGTGCCTTCATGAATGTCTGTCATGTGCATATGTGTGCATGTGAATATGTGCGCATGTGCATATGTGTGCATGTGAATATGTGCGCATGTGAATATGTGTGCATGTGTGTGTGCATGTGCATACGTGCTCATGTTGTGGTGTGATGCGATGCACTGACTGCACGCTCTGCTCTGCGTTCGTCTGCTCTGCCCTGCCGTGGTCTGCTCTGGTGTGGTGTGGTGTGGTGTGGTGTGGTGTGCGTTGATGCCGGCGATCAAGCAGGGAGAGGGAGCAACCAAGGACGGCAAGCCGCAGCCAGCACCAGGAGGCTCAGCGCAGCAGACCTCGCTCCCCTCCTCGCTTCCCCAATCCAACGCACAGGTAAATTAAATTCCAGCACAGTAAAGTGGGTTTGGGCCTTCCCGCACTGCTGCCCTCGGTGCAGTAATGCATAGTCAGAGGCAGCCATTGCTCAGGACCCAAACCCAACGCCCAGGGAGGTACCGAACCGATCAGCACTGGTTGTTTTGGTAGCACTGGGGTCTTCATGTTTTCATGCTGGTTCTGGAGTCTTCAGCGTTGTGCGTCACTCACACATACACATACACACATACACACATACACACATGCACATGCATGGACATACACACAGCATACACACTCGAACATCACACGTGCACACTCAAGTGTATGCACGCATCTAAATAGGTAAAAAAAACGGCTGGATGGGGACACCCCTGTGTGAGCACGCGCTTGTGACTTATGCCAGGTCCTGTTGCGACTGGTTTTAGCAATCACTGTTGCTATTTCCAGTGGTGGTACCTCCCCCGATTTCTCGTCCCTCCCTCTTCCCTCCCCCACTCCCTCCTCCCTCCACTCTCCACTCTCCACTCTCCTTCAACCTCCCCCTTCCTCCCTCCTCTCTCCCCCTTCCCTCCCGGGGCATGCCAGGTGCCCTCCTCGTCAGCATACCCATCCGGGGGCTCAGTTCCATACATGCAGCCACAGGCTTTTGATGCAACTCAGAAGTCCGCTCTCCGCTCTTTCCTCCCTCCCACCCACCCCCATCGTCCCTTCCTTCCCATGGCATGCCAGATGCCGTCCTCTTCAGCATACCCATCCGGGGGCTCAGTTCCGTACATGCAGCCGCAGGTGCGTTACTCATGCCTCGGAGGAGGGGGAGAAGGAGAGAACTAACAGAAAGAGGACGGGAGACAGGGAGGGATGCGGGGCAAGGTCGGTGGGTTTATCTGGTGGAAAGGGGGATGGTTGTGTGGTGTTAGCGGGTGAAGACGCGGAAGGATGAGGGGGGGAGGAGCCAAAAGGGGTTGGGAGACCGCTGTGTGGGTACATGCTAGTGGATAGAAACACAGGGGGGATTGTGGTGAGGGGAGGGGCGTGAGTAGAGGCATGGGAAGGGGAAAGAGGAAGCGTGCTGGTGGGGGGAGTATAGCCAAAAGGAGTCCGCGTTTTTCTCATGGATTGGTTGGTCTGTTGTGGTTTTTTTGTTGCCTTACTTTGTTTTGAGAATGAGAGGGGAAGGACTTTCAAGTGAGCTTTATTCGATTCTCCTTCTTTGTCTCTCCCCCCCTCCGTTTTCCCTCCCCCAGATGATGCCTCCTGGTGGTTACCAGGTATGCCCTGCCTATCGACCCTGCTCGTTGTGCCTCTTCCCGTTTTGCTGCCTTCTTGCTCTCATGCTTCTCTCCTGATTTTAGCTTCCTCCCACCTTTCTTCCTTCCCCCCCATCCCCCTCCGTCCCCCTCCATCCCCCCCATCCGCCTGTTCTCTTCCTTGGCATCTAGTGCTGTTCATTCGTTGCCACTGTGTGCTCCTCACCATGGGTTGCTTGCTGCCATTGCTGCAGATCCTCACGTTCTGCAACTCCCTCGTTTATTCTTTCTTCCAATATATGCCCACCCCTCTTCCCTCCCCTCTCCCCTCCCCTCTCCCACTCTCCATTGCTGTGCTGACGCCCGGACACCAGATGTAGCACGCTCTATGATTCTACCAGCCTCGCACGCTCCCCTCCTTTCGCCCTCCCTCCCATGCCTTCGCTCTCCTCTCCCTCTTCTCTCCGCTCTCCCCCTCCTCCCTACCTTCCCGCTCCTCCCGCCCCTCGCTTTCCTCTCGCTCCTCCCTCGTCCTCGTCCTCTCTGCCCTCCTGTTTTTGGACCTTCCACGTCACTTCAACTTCCCATTTCAGTCGTTGCCGTAATCGCCTCCTAACATGCATACCCATACACAGTTTCTGCAACAGCCCTAGAGCGAAACACCGCACTGCACTGCACCGCACCGGACTGCTGCTTCCGTGCAAGGCATCTACACCATATTGCACTGTTTTCTGGGGCTACGAGTTCGCATGTTAACTTGCTGATCCGGTTTGGTTGTGTAGGGTCCCCAATCTATGGCCAGTCGCTAGCGTTATGTGCTTAGCATGCTGGATATAGCATATAGCGAAATAGTTATACTAAAAGATTCCTTGAGCTTTACACGACTCCGTTAGTTTTCTCGACTCCATTAGTTTTGCACGACTCCATTGGTTTTGCACTCCACATCCATTCTTGCAGTGTGGAAGGGTGTTTAGCTTGTTTAGGATGCTCGCCGCGTTCACAAAAAGACACGAAATTGAATTGGGACTGGGAAAGAAGCATGTCGTGAAACTTCATTCAACACATACCCACCGAGCCAAAATGTGTAGCTGGGCTTCACAAATTTTTTCATATCATGTGGACCTCGCAGGAAGTGAAGAGTTCCAGTGCAAAAACAAGGAGGACAAGGAGAAATGAATAATAATAATAATAATAAAAGAATGGTAAACATGCGTGTTACTCATAGGAGCACGGTACAACTATATCTACTTGTGGGAACGCTCTTTGAAGAGTATCCAGAGTGTTGGGCTGAAAAGCCCTAGGATCTTTGTAGAGTTAAAGAAAAGCAGAGGAAAAGAAAAGCCGCCCTGCCATCAACCGCTGCTTGGCATCACTGACCGTAAGCTTCCCCAAAGGAGAGTAACCGGAAGTCGGTATGTTACAAGCAGTTAAGGTGTTAGTAGCTAGGTCACGGCTGCTGCTGCTGCTGCTGCTGCTGGTGCTGTTGCTGCTGCCATGGGTGTCATGCTCATCCTGGCTCATGGCAGAATCAAGGAATGGTGTGCTCTCTCTGCTCTCCGCCTCGTCCTCCTCCGAATCCACGTCTCTTTTCTCCCCATGCCACTCTTCCTCAGACCCTTCATCCCAGCCACCATTTCCTCTTGCTGCTCCTCTTCATACTCAATCTCACTTCCGTACTCACTCCACTCCTCATCCACGTCTTCCTCCTCCTCGTCCTCCTCTTCCTTTTCCTCGTCATCCTCATCATCTTCCTCATACTCATCCTCCATACAAGCCACCTCCACAGTCCTCAGAGTACCAGCGCACTGCCGCATAAACGCACCGATCCAAAGCAGTGCAGCCCCGCTCCTTTCCCGAAGCTTCACAGAAAGCTTCTCCAACTGGCTCGGCCAAGCATCCACATAAACTGGGTTCATCACCCGAACCAGCGACACCCAATCCTCCAACGCCCGAGCCCGAGCCAGGCGCCCAACCCGGAGTGGAAATACAGCCGCAGCGGATAAGGCATTCCCAAGGTAGAGGGCCCAGGGAAAGCGAGGAGAGATTAGGGCAATGACCAACCAGCCAATTCAAATTCAGAAGATTGATGCTTCCCGCGGTGCTTGTGGTGGCCGCATCTCCCCAAATCCCCTCGCACGCTGCCTCCCGCGGGGGATAGGTCGCCACGCCCACGCCGCTGCGCGGAGCGCCGGAGCCACCGCACTCGACGCTGAATAGATCCAGCGCGAGGAGCTTGAGCGCCGCGCCCGCGCCGGCGACGAGCGACTCGAGCGACGGCCAGTTGACGGTTCAAGCGCGGACCTCGAGCGACGCGAGGGCGGCGGAAGCGGGCGCGGAGAGGCGGAGCGCGGAGGCCGTGGCGACGGAGAGAGACGCGAGCGCGCGCGCGTTGGGGAGGGAGAGCGCGGTGAGGAACATGTCTCGAATCGACACGTCACGGAGGCCGCCGCTTCCGCCGCCACCATCGCCGCTGCTACCGTCATGCCTTACGACGCTCTTGTCCGCGGTACAGACAGACTCGCTGCAGATAAGCGTGACGGCGGAGACGCGCAGATAAGAGAGCTCGATAGACTCCAATCGCGCGGGCAGGCGCAAGCACAGCCCCGCGCGCTGTCCCGCCGCCACGGCTGCGGCCCGCGCACCAGTGGCGGTGAGACCGGCCGCCATGAAGATGGAGAGGCGGCGGAGATTAGGACACGCGTCGAGCAGTGATTGGAGCGTGGAACCGGCAAGGTTGGTCCACTCGACGGAAAGAGTGCGCAGTTGCGGAAAGACGGAGTTTCCGAGGAGGAAATCGGGCGGGAGGGTGAAAGAGCCGAGGCGCATCGAGGAAAGGTTGCGGCAATGCGACGCGAGATGCTGCAGATGGGAGCTCAGGTCCGGACCGTCCGCGTAGACCGTGCAGCTGGGAACGTCGGAGTTCACGCTCCCAGCGGAAGGCGCGCCGGCGGAGTATCCGGCGGCAGTAACGGTCTTGTGCTGCGTGATGGTGACGTGGCGGAGGGAGGTGCCAGCGTGGCGGGCCCACGCTTCGACGATGAACTCGCGAGGATGCGCGCTGCTGGCGGCACCGACTCCGCAGTGACTCTTGCCGCAATTTACGGACTCCACATGGAGAGACGAAAGGCCACGGGAGCGCATCACCATACGCGATACCACCTCTTCGATTTTCGCAGCAGGGAGTGAGAGGCGGGAGAAGGAGAGCGAGGGGACAAACGGCACTAGGCGGCGCCATCGACGACAGACCGCGCCGGCCGCTGCCACGTGTCGCGCAGAGCCCAGCGCGGCGAGGATATTGACCAGAACATCGTTGGGTAACTCGTCCAGCAAGCAGCCATGGCTCGCTGTAGCGCTGCCGAAGCTGCTGATCAGCGTGTCTTCGTCTGCGGCCGCGGCGCCATCGGCGACGGCGGAAAACGCGGCAGGCGTCGACGCGGAGAGGGGCAGCGACATCATCGGTGGATGGAACTCCTTGAGGGAATGGCGGCGCGGTTGTAATCGGCGAGAAACGGCGGCGGCGGTGGCGGCTGCAGCCACGGAGTTTGCAGCGCCATTTGAGGCTGAGCGGCTGAAGGTAGTACTCGTTCCCGCCTCGGTGGCAATGGCGGATGTGGCGCCGGGGGCAGCGGCATGACTCCCGCGTCGCCGCGCTGCGGCCAGTGATAGATAATCCTCTCGCGTGAGGCGCAGGCCCTTCGCGCGTTGCTGCCCCGAGCCGAGGTTTGCGGCGGGTCGTTCTGCAGCCTTCTCCGCCGCGACTCGGCGCGTACTAAGAGCAACACCACCATGGTGATCATTGGCATCAGAGCTCATCGCATCAAGTTGAAATGTAGCCATCATGGCGTACTTAGTAGTAGTAACCTCGTCGGCGGGGTAACGAGCAGCTCAGCAGGAGTCCCAAAAGAAATTGCGACGGGAGTTGACAAAGACTTGCGGCAGCCTCCTGAGATGACCGTGAGATGAACTTGCTAGATTCCAAATACTGTGATATACTCCTACTACTAGTAGCGGTTTGACGCTCGAGCGTTTCGTACTAGCCTGCCTACTACTACTACTACTACTACTACTACTACTACTACTACTACTACTACTACTACTACTACTACTACTACTACTACTACTACTACTACTACTACTACTACTACTACTACTACTACTACTACTACTACTACTACTACTACTACTACTACTACTACTACTACTACTACTACTACTACTACTACTACTACTACTACTACTACTACTACTACTACTACTACTACTACTACTACTACTACTACTACTACTACTACTACTACTACTACTACTACTACTACTACTACTACTACTACTACTACTACTACTACTACTACTACTACTACTACTACTACTACTACTACTACTACTACTACTACTACTACTACTACTACTACTACTACTACTACTACTACTACTACTACTACTACTACTACTACTACTACTACTACTACTACTACTACTACTACTACTACTACTACTACTACTACTACTACTACTACTACTACTACTACTACTACTACTACTACTACTACTACTACTACTACTACTACTACTACTACTACTACTACTACTACTACTACTACTACTACTACTACTACTACTACTACTACTACTACTACTACTACTACTACTACTACTACTACTACTACTACTACTACTACTACTACTACTACTACTACTACTACTACTACTACTACCGCCGCATGTCGGTGACATGATGTTACATCGAGTGGTGCAGAGAGAACTGCGAAGCAAAACTGCTGCGTAGTGCGTGTACATGCGGGTAAGTGCGCTAGATATTACGCTTTCAGACGATTTGATTCGCATGCAAGGACCTGGGGCGACTCGGAATTGGAGGCGTGTGTCCCAAATCCTGGCCAGAATCATCGACTCGCAGCGAGTGACTACTAAAGATTTGTGGAATATGTATGAACGAAAATACAGCTGCTCTTGTGCTGAGTTAGACGCCAGCGCCAAGGCAGGGTCGTTGACTCAACTCAGAGTTGCGGTGCGGCTTTTGCGGGCTCACGGTGAACCATCCACCGTGGATGTTGCGTGCGCAGCGCCGCAGGTCCAAACGAGGAACTGCAAAGCTTCTCTTGCCTTGAAAGACAGCTGCGTTTGTAATCACCCTTTGAAGAGTGTGCACCGTTCATTTTATCGCAAGTCGATAACTTGGTGGCTCCGCAGAGATAGGTCATTAAAAAGCACTATTGAGTAAACGTTCGTCTCTCCGGGCGCTTCGGTCCTCGCCCCAACCCCACTCAAAGCAGGACTTCTGTGAGTCTGCGTGTGAGCCCAGGAACGAGAAGGAAACCCTGATGCAAGCGCTGAGGCAAACGTTGAAAAGGAAACCCTGAGGAGGTACAGTCGATGCTCAAACGTTTTCTAGTAAATACTGTACGAGTTCCATGGTCTGTAACATGCACGGAAAACGGCACCCAGCTTTACAGTCTCACTGACCTTTCAGCAAGCGTAAGAAACGGAAAGTCCAAACGTGCGGAAAAGGATATGTATAGTCGGAAACACAACCAGATTGCAGCTAGCGATTTCATAAAAAAAATATGACCAGGTTACAAACATTTCGCCACTGTCCCAAGGTCGAAGGCAGGCGAACAGTATCGGCACGTTTCAGGCTTAGGCTTCTAGAAACTTGGCCGGCAGAAACCAGAATCGATTGTACTTGCAGGCTTAGTGGAGATCCAAACTTTCGTGTCAAGTGAGTTGAAATCTGTGAGGGGTTCTAGTAACGGGCTGAGGGCCACCCAAACCTGACTGAGGGCCCGTGGCTCGTGAGGGCCAGAGTTCATTACAACTAGAGGTTGCCTCCGCCATCCCTTGAGGTGGCGGAATGCGGTAAATACTTCCAAATAATGGAAAAAAAAAAAAATGGGAAGAAAAGGATGCGGTTCCGGTGTTTGGAGCCTGTTTCGACAAGATGAGGTTCGCTTCAATCCGAGTTACCGATTTTCAAAACGCTTTGGCAGGCAGTCGGACTTTGGAACGCGACCCTTGGCGACCCACCGAGGCACCCTAGATCACTTCGGTTCACAGGTGCTTCTCCCGGATGCGCAGGGAGATGGGAAGAAAAGTTCGCGGATTTCCATTTTTCGTTGTCATCTAATCGGGGCACTCTATAACTGCGATCCAGAGCGAGCTGCAACAAGAGTTCAATTACAGAAATACTTTTGAGTCTTACGGGCAAGAACTGTTGCCATCATACCCCTTGAAGGTTTTCTCGGTTTTACATCTCATCACCCTAAAAACTATCTCATCCGTTGGCTTGCCACTGGCTCCGGTCCGGCGACTCCGACCCTTGCTTTCAACAACGATAGCTCACACTCTTTGTCGCCTAGGTTGGAATATCGGCTGGGTTGGGAGGTTTTATCGAAATCATTTTGTCCGGGTGGGTGGGGCCCGCGCACATAGATTTCCTAAAATCTCCTTGAAATCCGTGCCCAGTACTACAAGGGATTGAACAAGGTTTAAAGGAGAAATTTCGCGAGTTTGTGCACTGCTTTGTTCAGCAACCCCAAGCCAGTCATCATCTCTCACTTCAAATGTTGTACAGATTTTGCCAGCTGTCCCACAACTTTGGGGCATCTAAAACAAAAAACCTGACAAAAGCAAAGGATCTGATCGGATCTGAGGTGTGAAGTCCGCCTGCCCACGTCAGTTCAGGTTTGACGAACTGAGGAACACTTGCAGCTTCCGAAAAGCGGGTCATAAATGCGGCGTTAGATGCTCATAAATTCTGCGCAACACAAGTGGTTCCGGTAAGTTAAAACCCAAAATCTGAATTACAAAAAAAGGGGGCAAACTGTGCAGTCTGCCTGCCGCGCCCCAGAGTTTTGCCTGTAGTTGACTTCCGTTGAACAATTCAAGGCTTGGGTTTTAAGGTTCAGACACGAGTACACACGATTTCCGGTTGAGCTCCCCAAGGACCCCTTACTCTTTGGGGGTATAACCGAATCTTGCATTTCGCAAAGTTTTCGCCAATTTGCACCTAGCGAAATGGGCTTATAAAAAACATTGTAACTCACCGTTGATTGTCTGACTTCGGTCTCTTCAGTATAACTTCGGTTTCTGTGGTTAGTGTTGGTTCAAATCACTGCAATTGCTCGAGGGGCTTGTAGATGAGGTGCAACCTCACGGCACAAAACCCACAGGTGCAAGGTTCACATCAGGGTGCAAGGCAATTTCGCGTGCAGGGGGTGAGCATCATGTGTATATGTGGGGAATGCTAAGTGTAATTCCCTTCATACTCCAACAAGTGTGACCCCTCGGGAAAATTCTTTTCCGTCACGGTTTTGCATAGTTTCAATAGATTTACCCTTACTGTAATGAATTTTCCCGAGTTCCTTATCGGGGTTGACTGCTTCACGTACAACCCAATTTTCAGACTTAGCACGTTCGGTCGATTTCAACGCTGCCGAGGCTCCTCGCGTCGCCTTCGGCATTTTCCCATCGCCAAACCTGTACCCAACCTCGCTCGTCCGAGGTTCCCTCCTAGCTAGGCTAGTGCCTACATTAGTCTGTGCCTTCATTGTATTCTCATATCAGTTAATCATAGTCTCGTTACTCGTTTACCTGCGCACTCTCTTTTACAACTCATAACACCTAGTATCAGAGCTAATTTCCTAGTTCACCCCGCTTTTCCGAGGGTAGTTTGGTGGCACAGGTGTGGTTGGTTTAGTGACTACACGACGGTTGGCCGCATGGATTGTTAATTCAATCCTGCCCGACTCTGATAGTTCGTGTTTTCACTTGCCTGAAGGCCACGGATATCCGATTGCCCACTAGACGTAGCGCTAGGCACATGGATCAGGAGGCGGTTAACAGATTGATGGCGCAAGCGTCAGAAATGCGGGACAGCATGAAGTCGTTAATGGCGGAAGTGACAACACTGCGTGAAGAAAACGCCGAGCTGCGTCAGATGCGAGGTGAAGCGCGTCGGGTGTCGAAGAAGGCGAGGGCAATAGTCAAGCGGTGAGCAATCCCTTGGACGCGCTAACACGTGACTTCGAAGAGGAAGATAGGCAGCGAGCGGCAACAACGCTAGTTGCAGTAACGACGATCAAGATCAAGCTTGTCAACCCGCCCCCATTTAATCCTACGGACAAGACGGTTACAGTAAAAGGGTGGTTGTTCGGGGTCGGGGTCTTCTTCACTGCAGCAGGGATTAATGACGACGCCACGCGTATTAACTACGCGGTTTTGCTTCTTCTAGGTGCAGCGCTTGAATGGTGGTGCCGAACCTTGGAAACGGGGACGCCGACATGTGTGACGCATGCGGCAGACGGGACCTCAACAGTGACTAATCAAGTGGCACAATCAATCTTCGGAGTGACCACGATACGCACGTGGAAGGAGTGGGGCGCAGCCTTACGAGATCGCTTCGAGCACGTATCCACCTCGGAGCAAGCTCGCATGAAGCTGAGTGCATGGTCGCAGATGGCTTCTGTCCAAGACTACACGACGTCATTTATGGGCCTCGCCAACCAAGTTGATGATATGTCGGAAGCCGAGCGGTTGGATAAATATATCAACGGCCTCAAATACGAGATACAGTACGAGGTTCGCAGGAGCCGGCTGACATCATTTCTTGAAGCAGTACGGCTGGCGGAGTCAACAGATGCGTTGATGCAGTACGCGAGAGCAGCTTCCAGGGATGGAAACCGCTTTCGTGGCCGGACCCATCGGGCCACGATCAACGCCGTCCATACACCCGACCGCCCTCCTAAGGGACCGTGTTACCAGTGTGGGGAGACGGATCATTACATGAAAGACTGCCACGAGACCACGCCGCTGACGGGGACAATAGGAAGGAGCCGGAAAATAATGGGGATACTCATGTGGATCACACCCTGTGCTGGTCGTTGGCAAGGTGTTAAAAAACAACTTGAAAATGTTCGTCGACGGAGGGGCCAGCCATAGCCTCTTCAACTTGGCGAGCGCAAAAAAATGCAAGCTGCAACTTGATAGGTGTCTGCACGAAATTGACGCCCGCCTCGTGGATGGGACGCCTCTGGCGATAACGGAAGAAACACGGACGGCCAGGATCGAATGCGGCGACCATTTCGGCTTCAACATGAAGTTCCTCGCGACGACACTGGACGGCTGCGACGTGCTGCTGCTGGGACGTGATTGGCTGCGGCGGCACAACTCCGTCATCGACTGGACAACGGGATCGTGCAGCATCAACAAGCACGAGGGGCTAATTAAGCTGCCTGCATGGACAACTGACTACATCCAAGCCCCGTGTGTCAAAGCCGTAACTATAGCTCGCCACTTCAACAGGGGCGCGCAACTGTTCACTGTTTGCTTACGCGAGTTGGCAGTTGACACCGACAGAAAGGACATCGAGAAGCTGTGTACTGTTGTACCGCCGGATTTAGCGGAGCTGATTCGACAGTACCCCGATATTTTCCCCGACGACCCGCCACATGGACTGCCACCCGAGAGACCTGAGGACCACAAAATCCAGCTGGAACCTGGCGCTCAGCGGACTGTTCGGACACTGTGGCGGTTGACCCTGTCAAACTTATATGATCTAGCCTGTGTAGGCTGTAGCGAGTTAGATACTAAGGGGTACACAATTCTAGGGTTTCACATTTGTATCAATTTCATTCCTTAGTCAATTCATTCTCGTTCTAAGTTTCTCATGGTATCGAGCAGGTTCCCTCGTGGGAACTGTTCCTAGGGCCCACCAATATTT